CAGGGGAGCAAACCCCAGCAGCCCCCAGTCCACTTGGATGTGGGCACTGGAGATTTGGGGTCCCCCTGGCCCAGCACCCAGAGCCACAGGGTGCTCCTGCCATCACCTGTCTGCTCTCCCCACAGCGCTCTGACCCCCGCCTGCTCTCCCAGTTCTTCTTTGCCGATGAGAGGGTGACACGGGTGGTAGCTGAGATCAACGGGCTGGATGCAGAGCTGGACCCACAACAGTACCTGGTGCTCCTCAACCAGCTTCACCTCAGCCAGGTATGGGGGCAGCCCAGGCCCTGGTGTGACCCTGGTCCCCCTGCGTGGCTGCGGGTGATATCCGTGCCCTCCTCAGGCTCAGCTGCTGGCCGTTCTGGAGCGGATCATGGAGGAGTGCATCCCCACGCAGCGGCACAGCCGTGACTACCTGGTCAAGTTCCCCGAGGAGCTCTTGGTGGATAACCTGGGGAACCACATGCTGTTTGCTGCTGAGGTGAGCCTGGGGATGCTGTATGGGTGCTGACAATGGGGTCCAGGTCCCCCAGGCTGGGGGGCAATGGGCACCATCCAGGATGACGCACCCTGCTGTGGGCTGACCCTGGGGATAGGGACTGTGCTGCCCTGGGCTCTGGCTCCTGACAGACCTCTGGTCCCGGCAGTGCCTCCTGGCTGGGACCTTCTTGGAGGTGGAGGAGGCAGATGGGGCTCAGCTGCGGCCTCAGGCCCGGAACCTGCTGTGCAGCCTGGAGCTGGTGCGGACGGTGCTGCGGGAGCAGAGCCTGAGCCAGCCCAGCTCCTACCCAGAGCCCGTCCAGGCTGCACTCGTCCAGTTCGACCGGCTCTTTGCGGAGTTTGAGCTGAGGTAGGGACCAGGATTGGGGTGCTGGGGTTAGGGTGCTAGGGTTTGGGGGTCTGTGCCAGGGCCAGAGGAGCCTCATGATTTCCCCCGGCTCCCCAGCTATGTGTCCTCGCTGGTGGCGGTGAAGTCTCCTGAGGAGATCTACAGGCAGCAGGAGATCATTGTGCTCTTCTGCGAGACGGTGGAGAGGTGAGGGGCAGCGCATGCCGAGTGGGGTCGGCAGGGACCCCAGCCCTGGGGATGGGGCAGCATCCCAGGGCTTGGGCCTGTTCTGAGGTTGTCGTCCCCCCCCAGAGCCCTGCGCCTGGGCTACCTGACCCAGGAGATGATTGATGGCTACGAACCGCTGCTGATGTTCACCATCCCTCGTCTGGCCATTATCAGGTAGGTGCAGACCCCTGGAGAAGGGGAGACTGGGGGTGGCTGCGTGCTCCTCACCCTGTACCAGCCCCTTCCCCTCTCTGGGGAGCCAGGGGGGCTGGGTGGGGAGCAGACCCCTGATAGGAGCTGGGCTCTGTCCCCTCGCAGCGGCCTCCTCATCTACCCCGAGGGTCCCCTCAGCCTGGAGCAGAGCCCTGAGCAGATGTCTCGGGTCTTCAGCCCCTTCTACAACCTCCTGAGGAAGATCAGGTATGTGGCAGGGGGTCGTGGGGCAGCAGTGGGGCCATGACATGGGGCTGATGCTGTCCCCTCTCCACAGAGACCTGCTGCGGGTGCTGTCGATGGAGGAGCTCTGCTTGCTGGAGAGGAGCCTGTGCTCAGCTGAATCAGAGGATCCCTGTGGTCCAGCCACCCCCACAGCGTGGGGGGCAGCTGTGCCCAGAGCAGACCCCCCTGCTCCCTGGGGCCTCCTGGAGGTCCCTCATGCCACCCCACTGCCCCCCACTTGCATGGCATGGCTGGGACCCTCCTGCACGGTGAACGATGTGCGCGCTGACCGTCTCTGGGGGTGCGTGGAGGGGAGGGAGCGGGGCCAGGCTGGCAGATCCCTGCCCGCTGTGACAGAGAATTTTTGTGCCACCGCTGGGGTAACCATCACCTCCTCCCCGTGCAGCCCCCAGCCTCCCGGGAGCACCCCAGGGCTCAGTGCCACCCCGGGTGCCCGCTGCTGGGAGCTGCGCTCTCGCTATAGCAGCACCAAGGACATGCTGCACACCCTCTTCGTCTGCATCTCGGGTGAGTGATCCCCTTGCTACCTCCTGCAGTACCCTGACCCCCCCATCACCCTGATTCCCCCTCTCCTGGTGCAGGGGTGGCAGATCAGCTCCAGACCAACTTTGCCAGTGACCTGCGGAGCATCTTGAAAACAGTTTTCAAGATCGTGGCCTCGCAGGTGGAGCCCCCAGAGGAGCCAGGTGCCAGCCGTGAGTAACTCCTGGGGACAGGGGACTTGGGGCACGGCTCCTCTCTGCCCTGCACATTGCCTGGCCTCGGCAAGATGTGGCTGCGGCACCTGCCTGGTTGGGGGCAGCCCCATGCCCTGGCCATGGAGGTGTTTGCTGTGGGGCTGAGTCTGGCCCTGGTTTGGGTGGAGCACCACAGCTCTTGTCCCCACAGAGGAAGAGGACAGTGACCTATGCACAGCAGACGCTTCTCGTGTGGCCGATTGTCCCCTGTGCTCCAGCCCTGGGGAGGCTGGCAG